TGTGTTTCTCCCAGACACTTTAAGCACAAGGAGTGTGGATCTCCCCACGGCATAGGCCTATTGCACTTTTTGCAGGGCTTAAAGCCTTGAAGGCCAGGCATGCCCTACCGTGGGCACAGGGCGCACAGCGGCAGGGTGCAATCAAAGAAGAAACAACAAAAAGTCTGTAACTTAATTTGCAGGTACTTAGCTGAAGATTAACTAAAAGAAGGAGAAGAACAATGAAGACAAGGATCTCAGTGAGGAGCTGAGGGTTGTTCCAAGGACCGTTATGGCGGTAACAAGGAACTGAGTGTGAGGAGGCCAGCAGGGGTATATATGGGCCGATATACAGGCGCCACTCCAGGGGGCTCCCTAGCTGGCCCTAAGGGTACCGCTGACCGCATATGCACGCTGCTCACACATACCTATATTGGAATGCACATGAGCAATCACTCGAAGAAGAACACAAGCTACAGAATAAAACATTTAAAATACAGCATCCACAATCTACAGAATAAAACATTTAAAATACAGCATCCCCATACTGATGGCTGAACCAAATTCCACAGAATTTAAAGTGACCTCATTAAGGAGTGTTGCTCAGATATGGTCTGCAGAATTCAGCCAGTTATGGGTTTTTGAGAGGAGCTGGGTTTTTTTTAATATAGTAACATTTGAAAAAAGTTTGAAACCAACAAGCCAACATACAGTTAAAACTACAAATCCTACATACGCCTAGTTCAAAAAAAAATGTGAATACGGCTAGCAAAGCACATGCCTATTCTGCAAAGATTTCAAAGGGAAGCCAATCTTATTACTTTACTTATATCATGCTTCCAAATAGAAATATAATAGGCCTGAAAATCTTAAAGCCCATTTGTACATGAGAATTATTTACTTCCTTATTCATCTCACATTGGTTGGTTTCAGAGTTGACCTGCCTTTAGACATTTGTTGAAATACAACAAGAAGCCTATTGTATTTTCTGAAACATTCAATTCTATTTAGGCAAAACTCACAGATTTCCTGAAATTCAGCCTTTAGCGAGATTATCTCACTATTTTTTAAAAAGCTCCAAATTAATCTCATAACAAAAGGAAAAGCAATCTGCTTATGTACTATGGAATTTAGAATTACCTTTGAAACAAACCTTAAAGCCAGGTGGAACAATTATTGGCCCTGGGAAAGCAGCACTGTTTATGGTAAACAAATCTATCAGTGGTGTTTAAGTCAGCAACATCAACATCTGTCACACCTTCTCTTGAAGACATTACCAACTTTGAGCCCTCTCTTCCTAATTACTAAAGAAGTGGATTTTACCAAGAAAAGCTTATCCCCCAATAAATCTGTTAGTCTCTAAAGTGCCACAGGACTCCTGGCTGTTTTTGCAGATACAGACTAACATGGCAACCCATCAGACATTTTCCTAATTACTGGGGTTTTTAAATGTGGATCACAGTGGTCACCAGAAAGAATTCTTGCCACTGAGGAATAGTCAAGCTAGATTCTCTGGTTCTCCCATGAGGGAATATGATTGGAGGACTTACGCGGCCATGATTCAATGTACCAGCTCCAATCCCTTCCATTATGGGGCATAAGGAGTTCTTGCTGAAGCAGACAAAGCCACCACAGTGTATGGATGTCATAAAACAATTGACAATGGGCAGTCAATGTACTTTATAATGAAGCTGATGTCAAGATTTTCTTTCCTACTTCCTAATAAGGTAGAAATTGATTTATTGTGCTGCCTTACCAATAAAATAAAAAAGGTCAATGAATATTTCTCCTGCAGGGTAGCACTCCCTAATTCTCAGGTTCATTGATTAGCCAACAGAGATATTTAAAACCAAAACTGTAAATCGTTACCCTGTGGTCTATTCTGCACATGGATTTAGTGATTAATGTAGAATGTTACTGGTATAAAACAGCTACATTTAAGTTAAAAACTTACTGGCACATATTGGTGTAGCATAGACATCACATTTCCTACCCCTTATTTCCAACCTATGCTTCCAGACCGTCATCATCGTAAAGCACATTGCCACTTCGAGACTGGAGGTGGCACAGGGATGACTGCTAAATGAGGAAGTGAATTTCAGTCAGTTAACACAGTTCAACGGTCTGCAGGCTGCTGGCAGCTGCGGGTCCTACAGGCTCCAGGAGGCTGCTGGTGCTGCTGACCCAGCAGGCTCCCAGTGGCTCCTGGACCTGTAGGCTCCTGGGGTTTACCAGTAGTGGCTAGTGCTTATTAGTTAACAGGTTAACTTCTACATCCCCACTGCTGAAGGCACACAGCTTCAGAGCAAAGCTGATTGCTAAAGCTCCAACACCTCCCCCCAAAATACCACTTTCAGCATCAACTGAAGATCGCAAAAATCCCAACCTCTTCTGCTCTTACCCTCTTTTAGGGAGAGGATGGGGAAAAAAATTAGTAGTGGCTAGTGCTTATTAGTTAACAGGTTAACTTCTACATCCCCACTGCTGAAGGCACACAGCTTCAGAGCAAAGCTGATTGCTAAAGCTCCAACACCTCCCCCCAAAATACCACTTTCAGCATCAACTGAAGATCGCAAAAATCCCAACCTCTTCTGCTCTTACCCTCTTTTAGGGAGAGGATGGGGAAAAAAATTAATACTGAAGCTGGAAAAACCTAAATTAAAGATTATGAATTATGGATGTTCCATTTCAGTTCATTTTAGCATTAAAAGAATGATTTTTTGAAGTGCTTTCACAGTTAGAATTATTTCCAATTACTCATTCCCATCAGGTCAAATATGGGACATTTTGGATGTCACAGGTGCAGAAATTCTCCATGTCTTTGTTGCCTTTTATATTTTGAGAGAGCTGCGTGCCTTTGCATTGTGTCATTTCCTTTGTTAAAGTTTATATGAACCACAAAAAAAAAAAAAAACAGGTAAAAAAGTCACAGGTATTAAGTTCTTTACATCCAGTAAGTGTTCACTAGATAGTTATTTTGGCATGAGCACAAGTTACTAAACAATGGTTACTATAAAAAAAGTCTTTGAAAAGTGGAAAGGTAAGTTCTTACCCATAGGGCACATGAATAGTAGTCACTTTTTCCTACTTGAGTATACTGCAAGCTTTATAACGCAATAATTATTATTAGCTATGTACATGGTAGTAATGCCTAGAGGCCCTACTGAAGGATCAAAACCATACTGTGCTAAGTACCGTACATGCACACTCTAAAAAGACAGCCCTGGCTCGAAGAGCTCATCCCTATGTTTTTTGGGTTTTTTTTTTTTAAGCAATTAAAGAAGCAATACGGAAGGGAAGGATAGGGAGAAGGCACAAAGGGTGTGGCTGCTATTATTGTACTTGTAGCAGTGTTCTTTGCAAGGCTTATTCCTGCTCTCTGAAATCAATGGGACATACATATGCCTCACAATGGGTGCTGTGCATAGCTAACCCAAGGGCAGAATTTACACCATTCATTTTTTCCTAATGTTAATTACAATCAAGTGTTTGCAATGATCTAAAAACTGCCAAAATGATTTTTCCTGAGGAATTTTTTTAAAATGTGGTTTCCACTCAAGAACTTGTGTAAAACATTTTAGCCCAAAGCATTTTAATGGTAACATTCTAAACCACTTCAAAAGGTGTGTGTGGAGGGGTGGGGTGGGAGAAACAAAATAGAAATATTGGCAGGTGAGCACCAAAATGTTCATGTTTGTTGCTACATCACCAGTGTTCCCCCTGCTCTTTCCATTTAAAAAAATAAATGATAAGCTTGTTGTGAAGGGGAAATGAATCTTCCAGATAAGGTTATAGGTCGCATCTGACGAGAGACAACACTGTAAATGGCACATGCTCACATTGAATTCCAAAGAAACAATCACAAATGTCCCAGGGGCTGCAGAGATGTACACTGTTGCATGTTTTACATACTTAGTTCTATAAACCACATTGTTTTTAGGCCTTATGGAGTTTATTTACTTGTAATTTACTAAGCCTCCAAAGCAAGGAGAAGCAAAATGAGGTTTACAGGATCTGTTGGAAAAAGGTTTATTGTCGACAGAACCACGTCTAGACTACCTTTTTGGTCGACAAAACTCCGTGTCAAAAACAACTGGCAGCCATGTTTATGCTAAATCCCGGCTTCATTAGCAATTTCGATGTGCTTCATTTGCATCCCTCTGTCCACGGAGGAATGCAGTCTAGACACAGCCACTGAAACTAACAAACAGCAACAAAGTTCAGAGGAATCCTTATTCATCTTTGCTGAGGAGTTAAAAGGGGGTAACATCACCTTCACCATGTTTTCTTTTAAACCTCAATCATTACCTTTCCTGACAGCACCTAGCCCCTTCACTCCTCCTCCAAAAAACAATTTAAGAATGACTCCTTTGAACACTTCTGTCTTTGTCTATGCAGACTCCAGCACCCTTCCATAAATCCTGAGTAACTCTGAAAAAGCAGAAAATGAACTCCAATACAAACAAATTCCTCTTTCAAAGGGCAAATCTCTGCTTCAGCAAATCCAAAAGAGAAAGAGTTCAGCGTCTGCTCCTAAAACTTCCTTTCCCGCGTAGCAACAAAATGCGGCCACAGTGGTATGCAAGGTCATCTGCTTCAAAGCAGCTTCCAACTACTGTACTCACAGAAGCAAAATGATGAAAGACGCCATATGGCTGCTGTCATGGTAAATAAAGGTAAACAGAGGCATATAATAAGAATTAGAATTTTTCTTCTTTGTTTAATCTTTGCTATTGCAGCACCAACAATACCCTGTATGCCTTTTCTTTCCAGCAATAAAACACTACTTCCTCTATGCATCATAGTTTTCTCTTGCAGATAAAATGTTTATTACTTAAATATGTCCCCCAATTGGGCAAATCTGATTAAAAATGTAAGGAAAAAGTAATTAGATAAACATCAGGTACCATGATAAATCCTATTAAAGAAATGCAGCTTTGATATTCTCCGAGGCAGTTGGAAGATAAAAGCCTGTGGTCTCATGAGCACAGCACATCAAAAATGCAAGCATTAAGACTTACCAATTTCTTCTACTTCTTCCAGGAAATCATTATATTCCGTTAGACTGGGAAAGTCATCTTCTCTTTTATTGTATCTGAGAGAGACGAGAAACTACTGTTTGCATAATGCACCAACATGGCAGCTTAATTCAACATTGTGTTCATTTCATGCATAGTACATTTGGCCAAGGATTATTGTCAGTGAGATACGACTGCCCATCCCCAAAGTAAAGAAAAGAATTGGAGGCATATCCTAGCAGATACCAATTCCAAGCTAGCTCCTTGCTCATGTCTAATAAAAGGGCAGACTTATTTTCTAACTGAAAGTACCACAAATAAGCACCTCAACTCTTTGTGGAAAAAGGCTGAAAAGTGCAGAGTCTGGCTTTGTGCCCAGCTCTGTTGCAGCCAATAAGGTGCACTGTAGTTGAGCCCAGGCACCCACACCTCTCAAAGCTCACATGGGATGTGCAAGTCTGACCCAAAATGAGGGAAATACAAAAAGATATTCATGCAATAAACATAAAATGCTGTGGGATTCCTACCTTAAGAGTCAACACGTCCTTTATTTCTGACAGTTTACTCAACAATAAAGGTGAGAGGCCAAAATAGTTTACTCCCTAGGGAATTCTGAACCAAAATATTAAAAATTGTGACCACATTTTAAAATGTGACATATTTTGCAGATTGTGTTTAACTAACATCATACGATCATGCCATTTTCAATTATGTTGGTAATTTCATTTCAAAATACCCATCAGTAAGTATGTCTGTAGCAATACAGATACCAGCACACTTATAGGGCTCCATGGAGGAGATGGCATTACTGATGTTTCCATGTATGTCAGGCACAGAAGATTTCAGAAGGATAAGTCTATAGCAAAGAAAAACCTGAGGCTGGCCAGCCAGCACCAGCCAACTCAGGTTTGTGGGGCTCTTCCACAGCTATGCTGATTTCTGCACTCAGATTAGAGCCAGAGCTATGGGACTCTCCCATTTTACAGGGTCCAGACCATCTTTATTTCAGGGATTCTCACCATAGTTCCAAAGATAGGTCCAGATTGCAATAATAAGGCAGCCCGTTCCCTGCTCCATTCGCTGATTAACCTCAGAAAGACAAAGCAACTACTGTCCTCATACTCTAGAGCCAATTCAATTTGGAAAGTAAACTCTTTTCAATGAGGCCAGCACAATACTCCCACTCACCCACATTACACACAGTAGACCCGGTTAGGAAAGCAAGGATCCCCCAAGGTCATACTGAGCCTCCATTCCTCATGAGGTCAACCAGCGACATGGCTTGCAGAGAAAATCAATTCCTTTTTTAATAAAATCAGACATTTAAAACCTTCAAAGTGAAACAAAATTAAGACATCTGAATCTTTAGATACATCCGTACACTCCCACTGGCAAAACTAAATCATTTTCTGAAGATGGAAATAATTTAAGGCCATTTGAATTTCGTTTTCTGAATTAAGATATTCACATTTTCAATACTTTCTTCCGAATTTCCACCTCCTTATCTATGGCAGGATCTTCAAAGAGTTGTACTCTGAAGTTGCTCTTCCGCAGCGGCGTATTACACTCTGGACAGTTTCCAGCCCCCCGGACAAACAGCAGCTCCACACAACTTTCGCATCTGAAGGAGAGAAGAATAAGGTAAAGAAAAGAGTGATGCTTAACTGTAACTGTGATGTAAGTCTTCCCCATTTATTATTCGGACGTTGTTTTTAAAATGTTGTGCAAACAAGGGTGTGAGCAAGGAAACACTTTGTGCTCGTGAAAGGTACCAGGTTAATATCACTGGAAACAAAGGTCCTCCATTCAAAGTACACAAGAGCACCAGCAATGGCAGTGCAAGTTTCTCCACATGGGCCTGGTCTTAGGAAGCTTCCTTCAGCTGGTGAGACATTTATTTATTCTCCCTGCTTAAACCACTTAGTCTCTTAGCTAAGAATACCAGGAAGCCTGTAGGGATGTGAAAGTATAACCGTGTACTTGGTTAACTAATGAGCCTGAGCTGATCAGTTAGCGTTCACGGTTACACACAGGCTCCCAGTAGGCGTGGGGAGTCAGCTTTAGAAGCTGGTTCCCACTACACACCAGCTCTTGGAGAGCTGCCTGAATCCACTGCTGCTGCCTCTGTGTCAGAAGCAGCAGCATGGAGGAGAGGGGGAGGTAGGTGGGAACCAGTACGCATTAGCAGCCAGTTTAAAAGTTGACTCCCCAAGTGCCCTGGCTCCCAGGCAGCTGACTGCACCCCATGTGTAACTGCTGGTTACACAGTTACTTAATTAAATGCATTTTAACATCCTTAGATGCCTACATCTTCACTGTAAAGTGGGCAAGTGGGTGACCTAGAGGGAAAAAGGAGGGGAGCTAGGAGAAGCCCCACTGGTAATAATGGAATGAACACAGGGTTACCTGCACTTTACATTTATCTGCCAGGCAGGCTCTGTCATCTAATAAAAAAATTGTGGCCTGATTAAACCAATATCAAATGTCTGCTGTCCTCCTTTTGGTATAGCCAGACAACAAAAAGGGATCACAATCTGTCCCATAGCCTTTCCAGCAGCTATAGTACTGTAACAACCCTGTCTAGCTCTGGACTGGAGCTAGATTCAAACCAGGATCACATTCAAGAGATTTCATGTTCCATTATTACAAATGCCCAGTGTTAAAGTTCCCTTGTTTTTTCTGCTAATACATTCAGACAACTGCACATAAATACACTGTACACAGAAGCTACATAAGCTATTACCTCCTGCTTCAAAAAAATGCTGATTTTATTTCTAACACATTGACAAGCATCTTAATTTATAACTGTCACTTGATAAATGTCAACTGACATTTAACAGAGGAAGAGCACACACACACACACACACACACAACGTGGAAAACAATACACAACTCAAGATGTATTTGGGTACTAATATCATGCACAATACAAGCAAAGCACAACACCTGTTGCAGTCACGTCCTATTGTTGAGTGAGAGAGAGTCCTATTTATATATTTGGTACATGAAAGCCACAAAACAGTTGTACACTGATGACCAAGCTTCACTGTCTCTTCCTAATGTCAGTCTGCCGGACAAAGAATTAAGCAGTTGTGAGGAATACTGAGCTAGTTTTGTTTCAAAACTACCATCCAGTTAAACAGACTGGTTCCATTACTTTTTGGAACAAAGCAGGTTAGAGTTAATCAACTTTACCCTGCCTTCATTTAAGATTGGAAATTGTAGAATAGCGTAATTGTAATTTTTGGCTTTGGTTTTACTTAACATACAAGCAGAGTGACAATCTTACAGTCTCTTCAACACTGGCTGACGCCATTCAATAAGCCAATCTTATTATTTATATTTCTCTCTCATACACACTCACATTTCCATTTCAGAAGCACAAATATATATAAATACAATATATTGGGGGAGGAGAGGAAAAAACTTTTTAGCACCTTACACTAGAAAAATAAATGAGCTACAGGGATATCAGTTAAAAAAAATCAGGGTTCTTTTCAAATGCTTTGCCTACCATCATTTATGACAACACCCATAGCTGAAATATAATAGAAAGATGGTGGGAGGAAATGTTCTTTTTTTACCACTATGTTTACTTTGCACATGTGACAACCTGATTGATGTTTATAGACAGTTTCATGGTTTCCTTGGTTTAAGTACTGTAGTCTATTTTGTTTGTGTGGGTCTCATATCACCTGGTGCAGAAGAGAGGGGGAGGAAGGGACAAATTTTATTTTAAAATTAGGGAAACTAGACTGTCAATTCTTAAGATACAACTGTATCTGCTCCAATCCCTCAGAGAGACAAACACCTACAAGATCTTTAAGTTTTAAGAATGCTTGATTTTCCACTTCCGCGGGTGAGTATTAAATATATTGACAGACCCAGATGAAAACCCATAAGTCATCTACTTCAGGACAGGCCCAACATGGAAAATAACAGAACATCACTGGTTGTCACCTAGAGCCCCCAGCTAAAACTCCCTCCAGAGCGCATCATTGATAACCTATCCCTGAAAACAATCTCTCACTCTTATAAAATACAGGACTATGTAGCACTTTAAAGACTAACAAGATGGTTTATTAGGTGATGAGCTTTCGTGGGCCAGACCCACTTCCTCAGATCAACATGTAGAAGAAACCTTGAGAAACAGACCAGCCCACGCTTACAGACAGCCCCCCACTCTGAGGCAAATACTCACCAGCAGCCACACAAAAACATCACAGAAACAGGGACATAAAAACCCGTTTAATTGTTTAACCAGTTAACTGATTAAAGGGGAGGATGGATGGGGAGGACGGGGTATTGCTCCAGCCCAACTGGAGTGACCTCCCCCGCCACTGGGCTGGAGCAGAGGGGCTTCCTCTCCCCTGCCCCCAAACCTACTGCAAATGGGGCTGCTGGGGCAGGGCAGCCCTTGCCTATGGTGAGCCTGAGCACCACATAGGCCGGGGTTGCTCTGGTATCCCGGTTGGAGCAGCCCCTGCCTATGGGATTCCTAGGCCCACCTCGGACATTCCTATCCACAGCAGGTGCCCCACAGGACTGGAGCAACCCACTGCCCATGGCAGTGCCCACGGTTAACCTTCACCAATAAGCCTCTCATGTTAAGAATGAGGCTTACCAGTTAACTGGTTAAACATGCTCATCCCTACCCAGGGACCTATCCCCGCAAACAAACCCCATTGTCAACTGTCCACACATCTGTACAAGCAACACCATTACAGGACCTAACCACATAAGCCACACCACCATCAGGGGCTCATCCACCTGAACATCCACTAATGTGATATATGCCACCAAGTGTCAGCAATGCTCCTCTGCCATGTATATTGGCAAAACTGGATAGTCCCTACACCAAAGGATACATGGACACAAATCAGACATCAGGAATGGTAACACACAAACCTGCATGAGAACACTTTAACCTCCCTGGACAATTAGTAATGAATTTGAAAGTAGCCATCCTTCTACAAAAGAATTTCAAAACCTGATTACAAAGGGAGACAGTATTGAATTTGCAAATGAACTCCAGTTCAGCTATCAACTTAGGATTGAATAAGGATTTTAACTGGTTAATGCATTACAGATGCAATTTCCCCTCTCTTGATAGTCACATCTCCATATCAAATGCTGTAAATGAACCATTTCCACCCTGAGTTGATTAGCCTCATCCACACAAGTAACTTCTTTCTTTTGTTGCTCTTATATACAGGCAGTCCCTGACTTACGCGGATCCGACTTATGTCGGATCCGCAGTTACGAACGGGGCTCCCCCGGAGGACACTGACTGCGGGACCTCGCGGTCCTGCCGCCCGTGTACTCCGGGGCTTTCTCCGCGTCTCCCTGGTCTGCAGACCAGGAAGACACGGAGCAAAGCCCCGGAGGGGCCCGGGCAGCGGAACAGCTTTGCAGAGCCGCGGGGGGGGCTGGGCAGGCC